AGTTTCAGCCAGCGAGGCGTCCTCAGCTTCATCTCCTCCTCCAAAACCAGCTGTTCGGCTTCCTGTCAGCGGGGGAAGAAGCGCTATACGAACCAGACAAGAAGTTCGACAGGAAGAGGTTGGCTCACTTCCATAGTTTTATGGCTCCATCTGCTTAGTGTACTAATTGCGACAGGTTCCAAATATCGGCCAGGCAAGGTCCTGACACTTCGATATAGCAAAAACTAAGCCGAATAGAAGGTCGTTTTGCTGGGAAAGGGAAACTATACCAGCCCTATTACCGGCATTATTTGTTCACTCAGAAAATCATTACCAACTTTTATTCCTACGATTTTCAGGACGCATCCGACTCAGACGAGAATCGAACTGTGTCGATATTCATTGATCGGATCTACATTCCTGAATTTTCTCGCCTTCTTCATCCCAGTTACGACAATGTGAAAGTATACGTTGATTGGTGAATTTTGTTCATACTCTTTCCCTCAACCTCCAAATTAAGCTTAATGACTAATGATCAGAAGAATTGCCGGCTTTTTCCAGGCATATGCATGCGTAGCAGCTATACTTCCCGATAAAATTGGCTGCAAATTAATACGAATCTAAAGTTGAACTTACTGCCCCCCCCCCAGAATAACTTCTGACAGCATCAGTCAAGCTTCAGTTACATTTTGAGATGCGCCACATACCCAAATCAGAATCGTAGCGTTTTAATGAGATCTGGCTTGCGCAATAAATCCATTGAGTTACAAAACGTTGTATGAGCCTTACCAGACAAACCTGAACAGTCTTTGTTGACAGGGCAATTTAATGCATAAATATAAAAGTCACCTCCTTGACTTCCTGTTCAAAATAATCAATAGCAGATGATAATTTTGGAATTGCAGGTTCTTCTTGGACTACCCACTTGAAGAATCGAGAACTCCGGTGGCGATTCCTCTTCCGCGGATTCCGGATTCACCTGGACTATTTGTGTATAAGAAAGGTTGGGAAAAAACTATAATATGCATCAAGTTTCACACTAAAAAAATAAGTACTGGGCATCGATCATGAGTGAGAACTACTCTTTTTTTCGGGAGTTCCACCTACGGCGTGTCTCTTGAAAACACTCGACGGCAGTTTTTAGATGTTAGTGAAAAAGCCAAGAATTTAGCAACGAGAGAGGGGAGATTTGCAAAAAGGAAACGTGCACTGGTACTGAGCTGGCTGAAAGAACTTACTAGCCGAAAAATTTCCTGTTTTCCAGCTTGGGACCATTTCCCGAGCCACCACGTTCTTCACCTGTGCGATCGCCCCCTCCTCCACTCTAATGGTACCCATTTTCACAAAAGAGACCGTCTCCCCTAGTTGATGAACGTCGCATCTGGTCTTGGAAGAATCACTTTCTTAGAGAATTATTTTTGTGCACACTCCTACTGGTCTCTCCCCTAACTACATTTTATTCTGTTCCCTTAGTCGGTCGCACCTCGAGAGGTCCATCTGCCTTCTACTAAAATGTTCATCTCTTAGCTCCAACATTATGGTGATCCTTTTTAATTGAGTGAGTTTTTGAGCGTTAAAAATATGAAGGAGTAAATGGGTCTGGTTTACTGATGGTGAGGCGGGTCATTTTGCTGCAGAGCACCCAATTCATTTGAAAACTCTCCGCCTTTTCTTTCATTACTACCCTTTTTGAAGAGTAACCTCATCTTGTCTTCTTTCTAAGAAGAGAACTAAATAGTTCACCCACCACAGAATTTATGTCACTGTAATTCGTGCAAACAATTGCACCAAATACCCATTTTATTGTTAGCAACATGGGAACTACTGCTTGTTTACTGCCATCTTTGAAATATTGCGCAAACGACTTTACTTGAAGCAAAAATTCCAGCCTTCTCATAGTAAGATACGTATACTATTATAATAATAATAATAATAAATGATTCGCAAAGCACGGTTCAAACATTCGTGATTCATTGTAGAGTTTCACCTGTCGCGACGGAGGGTTGCATTACTCGACCAATGGTTAGAGCTTGGTAATCGTTTGGATTTCACGCTGGTAACAGAAGGAGATGACAGTGAAGAACTAGCCGTAGCACAACTTGAACTCAGCCGAACCGCTACTGATGAAACGACGACAATCCAATGTAAGTGGCAGGCATTTCCTATTTACAGTTAGATGGAAGAATTTGTTGTTATTTACAGTTCTGGACATCAACGGCGAGCACTACGCCGATTTGGATCTCGTCATCACTTACTCACACAGAGATTTTCGATTGTTTACGAGGTTGATGTGTGTTGTGATCAGAGTTATTAGATAAAAGTTCACTTTCCTAATTTGCTTGTTAACACATAAAGGATAAAGGATAAAGCATTTGCCGTTGATCAATCCCTTTTTGGGATGCGGCACGCATTCTACTTCCATTTGTACATTCGCAGTGGCGTTTGAATGCGATGTGGCCTATACAATGACTTTGCGGGGCCAGCCGATGTACAAGTCAGTGTTTTTATCCTCCCAGACAAGTCTGGTACCAATTAACCGACCGGAGGGATGGAAGGCTTGGTTGCCCGGGCGACTCACGACCCAGGATAATCCCCGGACCGCTCGCGTGGTGAGCGTGCCACTTGCCACTACACCACTTCCGCCCTTGTACACACACAAATAGGAAAAAATAAACAAAATAAACTAAAGATATGGTCGAAGCGTGAGAAAGCGAAAAGGTTATTCGGTAAAATTTGCACTCCCTTTACTGCCCCATACTTTGGAAACTGAGCTGGGTTTCTCTCAAATTTTTAAATGAAAATGGATTCGGCAAAAAAGCTACCCAGCCGAGTAATTTGATCGGCAGAATACATATATCACATCCGTTAGACGCGTAAACGCCTGGCGTCCGCGCCATAGGCGCCATTTGTTTGACGCTGACAGCTCTGGCGTAAGCTACAAACGGTTTCCTGACAAAGACATGTGATATTCGAGTTTCCCCCTCATCGATATACCTCTAATGGTAAGGGCAAGATTTTAGCGAATTCGATGGTCTAATGTGATTTAGCCCGGCGCCAGTGGCGCGACCGCTGAACCTTTCTCACCAAACAGATGATACTCGTACTCTGCGGGTCAATTTGACCCAAGAGCAAACATTAGAAAAACCCACTCCCATCAACAAGTTTCGAGAACAATCCAGCTGTTCCCGAGGAATGGGGCAGCAAAGGGTAAGTAGTACCGGATATTCGACTCATCCTATTTTGTACATTTGATCCGTCAAATATATTAGTTTGTAGATGCCGTTATAGATGTTAGATGCCTTGAATACTTGGAATATTTTCATACTGAAATCTTCCTTCGAGACCTGAAGCCCTATATATCATTGGCAAGCCTATTCTATCTTCTTTCCTTCAGTATATTTGAATTTCAGTTTGACTTGTTATCTTGGGTTTTTATAGAATTGAAATGAAGGTGTCAAGACAGTGGTTTGGGCAAGTTTTCTTCGATGTGCTGAAACTCTGACGACGCAGTGCTCCGTAGACCCGGTAACATTGAAGATGGGGCCAAAGAAGCACCTCCAGAAGCGCAGCACAGCCTTGGCTCCAAAATTTTGGTTTAGAAGAATTCCATAGTGAAGGTTGAGGGGAGTCATGAGCATGCTTTGCTGTTGACGACGGCCTTCTGAAGATTCCCGTAGAAGATGATTCCAGTCTAACTGTGCTATAGCAAGCAGTAGGACCAGAAGTAGGTATATTGAAAATATTGTGGCTCCTGAAGATAATTGAAGAGGTGAAAAAGCTGAACAGGTGGCTTCCGCATGGCTGACTGAAGCAGCAGCAATACCGTCTTCCCAAGGGGTCGTTTCCACCCGTTTTACGTAACAAAAACTACTAGTATTCGGTATGCATTGTCATCTACGACGGAAAATGGACTCTTTACGATTACAGAAAGCCATCTCTCTAATAGTTTGACCGCGATGAATCTTCAAAAACTTCTCCAAAGCCGAAATTATAGAATCAAAGTTGAGCTGAACATTCGGCGGTCTTCCACGGGACTGATGCACCACACCTCTTGGAAACCAGGTGAATTTGACACAACACCAATGTCTCTCCAGCATACCGATGAGATGCTCTAGAAATCAACTTCGTCAACCGAGAGAAATGAAACAACCCTCCTTCATGGTGGCGCTCAGCCACACGTCCCATAAACGACCTCGCAAGTATTGAACAAACTGGCGTACGAAGCTTCGATCAGTCGTTCTATCGGTTGATACGGCAATCAACCTAGCTGATTTCACACGTTATGCCAGCCATGCACACATCCCGAGGTGGGCGGTCGTAGCGGGGCCAGGCGGCGATAGCGCATAGTACATGCCCTGGGGCCTTATTACTGCGCCGTTTCGGGTTTTGAGTGTGGGAACATCTCTACGGGTGCGTAACCAAGTACAGGCATGACCGAAAGGGTTGGTTTGGTCAACTAATCCCGACCTTTGCCTTTAAAAGACTAGATTCCACCTTACTTTCGTTATGACTGAAATGTTCACTTGAATGTGAAAATATGCTCTACGAACATTACGACATGGATGCTCCCGTATGGATCTACGTGCCGTATACCGTGATTGATTTATATTCTGATTTGCAATAGAATGTTGGACCGTTAGAGGCGCAACCCAGGCAGAAGTCGTCGTGCGAACGATTTCCTTCAAACCGCAAAATATATCTCTAGAGGACAATCACAGATGTGGCGCGCTAGGGCCTTGCAAAGTAAAGTGACATGCTGAAATTCCGGTGTTAGACTCTTGTCTGGTGCACTCTTATCTGTTCGCTCTCTCACTTCGTACTTCCTCTCACGACTTCAGTTTCTCTTGACCTCAGCCACAGTCTGCATTACGAAGAGAGTGAGCTCTGTAAGCGCAGTACGAAGTCGTTTCTTCGCCAATCCTTTCTTTTTTTTTACCACCGGCCCGTTCGCACTGATGCATTCGTATTCATGTGCAAGAATCACACCAATGATCCTGGGGCATGCCTTAAAGAAGCAACAGTCCCAGCAGGGTGGGCGTGGTTGGAAACGACTGCAATCCCTCGGCCGATTCCGACCACGCCCACTTCAGCTCCCTGCCCTAGCGGCTTTCCAAGGTGAGTTTTTGTTCAGTCACACTTCCTACGTTCTTGACTAGGGGCTGACAGCTAAAGGAATCTTCCACGGACCATGGACCAGTGGGCGGGACCGGAAGTTTTTGTGACGAAATGCATGGTAGGTACGGATCCACGTGTCGAACGCACGAACGTGAACAGGATTCACTTCAAACCTTCCCATGAACGTGGATCCGTACCTACCATGCATTTCGTCGCAAAACCACTTCCGGTCCCGCCCACTGGTCCATGGTCCGTGGAAGATTCCTTTAAGGGGTCGGCACCGAGTAGAGTGCAGCCGATTCCGACACCCCCTGCTGGCAACGGAACTCACATTATACGACTGAACAAAAATCGAGTTCGTGTTTTTATCAGATCTTTCGGAACTGCCGTAAATTTAGCTCCGCCCACCCCGGCGCATTATCCACAAACCTCGGAAATTTCGATCATCAGCCCCTACATCCTTTATCATTTTTCTCGGTGTCCGTGCTGTCTTGAACGTGAGATTTTGTTGCAAGCATCCGCCCACTTATAACGTCTACAATTAGCATCTGATCCCTGCTACTCCTAATAATTTTAGCAGATATTAGCCCATCCTTAGAGCTTGGTGTGCCTTAGGTATCGCTTATCTCCAATGGTTTTTCCTCCGGGCCCGGTGCATGCCCATCGCCGAGGGAAGGGCTAAGCCTTTCAACATAATTTTTTATTTTGAAATCTCATGCTTTCAAGCAACAGCTTATATGCGCTTCGCACTTCTTGGATGAGGTTCATTAAATCCCGCACTTGCGAAGAAGCATTAGAGTCAAGTAATTCTTCAACCGACAAGACTAGCTAGATTGCGATTAAGATGGGACTATCACACGCGGTCAACTAACAAAGAAAAAACCATTACGAATGAAATAATTAGAATGGTTCGTTTCGCTCCTTCCTCAGACGAAAAACGGAAACGTATAACGTAATATTGCGAAGTAAAAGGTCATGGATTCAAAATCCATATCACCTCCAATGTCGATCATCTCTCTCTTTCCTCTCCATTACCTCTATTATACCCCTTATACAAAAGTACTTTGTAAAAGTGTTCAGTAAGCTTATTGTTAGTGACTAGATGGACTGATCGTCATGAATAAATTCGAAATATGAAAAATCCCTGTGATTCTCAACTCTATTAGTCCCAGGAACATTGCAAAATAAAAGAAAAAGAAAATCACGGATGAATAGAAGCAGACTCACGCAGCTCTACCAGGCCAATGAAACATTAAAAAGAAAGAGGACTAGCGTTTCAGAACTAGATTGGGTCTCCAGAGCACCTCAATAAAGGCTTGTTAGCAGAACCTGTATATTGAGTTTCACCATCCTATCCATTCCTATCAGAAAAAATGAAAAACCTTGACGAGCGACACATCACCTCAAAACGTGCTCGAATTCAAATGAGTGCGCTATTTCTGCAAGGGCCCCGTGTGGAAAACTACCGTCTTTGCTAATGCATCATACTAGCCGAAATCCTAAAAATGCGTCTTCCAAAGCAGTTATTTTATGTTTCCTCCCTGCTTTACTGGTTGTGAATATCTTTTGGGATATTTCTGTGGTTGTCTGCAATTCTCCACGAGTACAATTTGATGCACTGTGATGGCTGATTGTGCGTCAACCAGCTTAGGCGGGGATTTCGTGCGGGTCTTTTTTTTTGACAGGTTCTGATGAAATCATTACTGAGTCTTCCTGAATTCAGATAATAGACTGAGGTACATGAGAGAGCAAGTTTTTTTCAGAGGTGAAATTTATGCGTAGTAGAGTGGGGCGTTCTCTCTTCAGTGAACTTCTCTATGTACTCATTCTTCCGATGTATAGTTGCGTGGAAGTGAACTTTTGGCGCAATGTGCCTCTAGGAAGGCCATTTGTAGGCCTCGCCACTATCGCCTAGTCCTAAAACTGAGCGTTTCCGTGAAGCCTTTTGTCATGCATTACACAGCGTACCGGTTCGTTAACGCGTGTACGTTCTTGGTGATGAGTTCATTTCCTTATTTTTCAGGTACACCAAACGCTGTGATGGCTCCCGTTGCTAAGAAGCCGCAGGTGCGTGAGAGTTACTCTGGAGTTAGAAATTCGGACTGAGAAGGTCCTGGGTGCTGGAGTCTGAATTTTCTAATTGAGAAGGATGTAACTTTCTTTGCGAACAGGGTACAACCGGATCTAGGTCCGGTATGTATTTTGTCGTTTACCAACATTTTTGCTGGGTGTCCACGCTACACAAAGCTGGTGTGTTACCAAAAATTAGGCAGGAACTGAAGTGGTTCGACTTGCTTTCACCCTAGATTAACAATCATCTGTCGAAGCCTCCTGAAGTTTTACATATCTCGATCATTTATAATCTACGGATCAGCGAAAGTCGTTTCGTTGGAAGG